TTCAATTCCACAGCCAGTGGTGATTCAATCTGGTGGATTAAAGACGTTAGAAGACGGAATCACCTCTGTATTTTCAAAGAATATGTTTAGTAAGAAATAATTTCTGTAACTTTCCATATATATAGACCTCGTAATGAACCGTTCACGCGTTCCGACTCCCAGCGAATTGCAGTATTATTACGATTGTATATCCGCTATTTAATTAAATAACGATTTCAGGTTTTAAGACATTTTACTATTTATTTCCCAATTTTGTTCAAAGACGGAGCACAGATGGTTTGTTTTTTATTATTATGTTAATTATGCCTTATTTTGCAAACACGATAGAGTCTTCAACGCCTTTACCTACAATTTTAAACACTTTGATCAGCACAATAGTCAACCAGATATATTCAACAGAAACAATGCTTGATTTCCGTTTGTTTTCACTACAAAGCATATTTGGCACTAGTCGACCAATTCGAGATTTTCAAGAGCAGACTCCAATCAACATTTCAAATGAGAATCGAAATGGGCGACAGAGTGGTGATGATAGTGGATTAGGCACCTCCTTGATGCTCTCCTTTAATGCTACTGGTGATTCAAATCGAGTTTCAAGGGAAAGTCGTGTTATTGAGGCTGACCAGCTTCCATCGGACGTCAATGCGAAGCCTTCGTTTCACTGTCGATACTGCTCGAAAGCCTATTCGAGAAAATCGTCCTGTCGGTAAGTTTTGCCTATTGCTCAGTAGGATTGACACCCTGTCTTCGCTCAAAGGAATCTAAGCATTTCAACGAAGGAAGACGATAACATGACGAATTACCTTCCAAATTGATGCCAAGTTCATTTTGCAAAATCTGCAACACTTAGATTGGCCAAATTGTTTGCGTACTACAATATTTGATTAAAGTGAGCCTTCCCCATTTTAGAATTCATGAGGGCACGCATGAAATGCTGTATTCGTGTCCACAATGTGATAAAAGTTTCTCTCGGAAATGGTTACGGGATCTACATGTGAGAACGCATACAAATGAGAAACCATATACTTGTCCAATTTGCTCTAAGAAATTTGCGGACAGGTCGAATGCACGAAAACATATAAGAGCAGTACACAAATCAGGTAATATCATCAGTATTTCAAGTGATAGCCTCTTTGTTTCACTATCTTCTCTCACATAGACTTGACCACTCAGTTTTTAAATACCAATTTTTGAGACCACAGTGTGAGTAAAAGTAAATTGAGTTTTGTTCCAATTAAAATTGACCGATTGAAGTTAAGATAAGCAGAATATCTATGTTTGAAATTAAGACGGTGTCATGATGGTGCTTCAAATTGCATTAAAACTTTTTCCCATTTTGTAGAGTCAAATGAAGCTCCTCTTTTAATTGGATAACTTGGTCTCGAGAGAGTTTCAAACCGTTCTTCTTTTTTTTAAAAAAATCCATTCATCATCCTCACCATATTCCCTATTTTTCCCTTCGAAATGCTTTTAAGTGAAGAAATGCCCCCCCCCCTTATTCAGGACAATAAAAATGAATGAAACTTTGCCACTAATGTCCTAAAATTTTCATTTCCCCACATGTAACGTTTTCGAATTTCCCTCATGATTTTGTGTTAACTTGTTATCCATCAAAATGTAAATTGTTATACCAATATTAATTCATTGGTTATGTTAATGCAAGTATTTGTACTGTTGAAAGTATTTTGAATAAATATGTCCTTTAAATAAACTTTTGTGTTTATAATTTATCTTTTCAATGCAATATTTGAGTGAAACATAGATTCAATTCATTAACCACCTCCCACTCCCTATCCATTTACCAGTTGCATTACAATGTCCTTAAAACCTGAACTCTAGGCAATATTTGGCATAATGTTTTAGATCAACTAAACTATTTACCTTTTTCTTTATAGCATAGTTGCCAACAGAACCTATTTTGCACAGATAGGAGTTCAGTGGGACGCAAAAAAGTAATTCCACTTCCAAGGACACGTTAATTTAAGGGCAGATAATGCTCAAGTAGAAGAGAGAAAGTGACATGCATTCATACTTGGACCTTAAAAGGAGACGATACCTTTGTTAATTAACTCGATTTCTTAAAACAACTATGGTTTGGTTTGCGAAATCAGATGTTTACTTATTTGTTTAGTCACAGGTGATTATTTAGCCATGTACTAATTGGACTTAACAACTATTGACCTTTGTGGCATTTGACTGCGTTTAATAACTAAATATCATTAAGAGCCAATGCTAATGTTAACGGATTAAACTGTAAAAGCGGAGAGGACAATCAGTCAATTCAATTTGCCTTTATTGCTTGCAAATTAGTTTACCCCTCAGGGTTCGCGCTATTACTATTTGCTCACGAATGTTTAGTCAATACAACCACTCCCATCAAATACTTATTTATATCAAATGTCAGGCGTCTGGATGGTTATCATTAGTTCTTACGTTGACAGGGGGGGGGGGAAACATCAAATTGAAAGGAAGTCGAGAGGGGGAAGAGAGGAGTGTTTCAAAGAAGTAAGAGTCAAAAAAAGTAGAAAAAGGTTATGTGAATACTGTGAAAATTAGAAAAGGTAGGAAAAAGGTGAGGTGAGTACTGTGGAAGATACAAATGTAGAAAAAAGGTGAGGTGAGTACTATGGAAGTATACAGACTCAGAGGTAGAAAAAAGGTGAGGTGAGTACTGTGGAAGTAGACTAATATGCCATACAGTGGGTCATGGTAGCTAGAGTCAACTGAAGGTAGAAAAAAGGCGAGGTGAGTACTGTGGAAGTGGTGAAATATGACATACAGTGGGGTGATGGTAGTTTGAAGTCAGAGGTATATGACATACAGTGGGGTGATGGTAGTTTGAAGTGAGAAATAGGTAGAAAAAAGGTGAGGTTAGTACTGTGGAAGAAGTCGACAGTAGAGCAAAGGTGAGGTGAGTACTGTGGAAGGGGTCGAATTTGACATACAGTGGGGTGATGGTAGTTTGAAGTGAGAAGTCGAAGAGAAAAGGTAAGATGAGTACTGTTGAAGTGGTCGAATTTAAGAAAAAAGGTGAGGTGAGTACTGTGAAATGGTCGAATATGGACAAAGGTGAGGTGAGTACTGTAAAAATAGTCGAATATGATATAGAGTGGGGTGATGGTAGTTTGAAGTCAGAAGTCAACTGCCGATCAATAGACTTTTTGCAAGTCAGAAGTCAACTGCCGATCAATAGACTTTTTTGTCTTTGAAGTCAGAAGTCAACTACCGTAGAGTGAGGTGATGGTAGTTTGAAGTGAGAAGTCAACTGGCGGTTAATACACTTTTTTGCCCTATCGGAGAAGTCAACTACCAGTTAATAGACTTTGCCGTATGAATATACGTTGCCCAGGGTGCACCACGTGGAGGTAAGTCTATTGAAAAACGAATGCCGAGTGATAGAATTTTTGCCGTAAGAAAGTACGTTGCCCAGGGTGCACCACGTGGAGGTAAGTCTATCGTACGTTGCCCAGGGTGCACCACGTGGAGGTAAGTCTATCGCTCACCCCTTAACATCAAATACAGAAACTGTTTCGTTAAAATGGATTGCTTTAGATATAGTGCATTCAAAATCTCAAAGGAATATACGTATGAATGCATGTTCTGAATTTTCCGCTTTTCTACATGTAACATTTTCGACTTTACCTTATCATTCTCTCATAACAATATTAATTCATTGGTAATGGTTATGTAAATATTTTGACTGTCGAAAGTCCCCTTAAATATATTTGTTTAATCATAAGTAACGCTTAGATTGCAATAGTGTGCTTATTGCCCTTAAAATGGTCATAGCTTTATAACCACTATGCTCCCCTTGGATGACCAAAAACGTCAACTTTCGCTCAGCTGAAATACACCAAGTAAATGGTATGATAATTAACTAATTAAACTGTCGAGACAGCTTTCGTGTGATATCCAGTGTGTGCCGCCCACACCCTCCCAATGGCCATGTTTTCAAAATGATGCTTTGTGCTGCTAAATACAATTATAGAACACTGAAATTGTCTTTATTATTTTGGCAGTAATGACGATATTGCTGTATTGCCTAAAAATTCAGGCAAATAAGAAGTCACTTTGTGAATAATAATCAGTTTGAAATTATTTAATAGCCTTTTCATTGCTCTGATCAATTGTGACTGATAATCATCTCTTTGCAATAAATATTTGGTTGAAGTACAATAGCAGAAAAATGTGTTTTGCTATTTTATTGGTATACTGATCTTCTAAAGTATAGTTGCATCGAGTGGATATGCATTTTAATATCATATCGACAATAGTGATACACCAATTATTTATGTGAATTAATATGACCTGAACACACTTGCAAAGCAACTATCATGTCAGCCAAATAATCAACTCTCAATGGCATCTTTAAGGTAAGACATCGTAATGAGGGTTTAAAATTGGCCCTTCCCAATTGAATGATGCCAATTAATAGACTTGATAAGGTACTGAAAGACTTATTTTAATAACCACAGCGAACGCGTTGACTATTATTTCAATTAATAAGCTAACGAGCCACTCAAATTGTGTATCGGTGCTGAGCGTGCTAGTATTTTTTGAGTTCAGTCATTGAGAAGAAAAATTCTCTCTCATTAACTTCAGGGAGATTTTAGCTAACAGTTGTGTACTTAATATGGTGTACTTAATAGCTCTGAAGAGATTTCTATTTATATTCCTTGAAATATACAAATTACCCCAAAATGCCACATTTGGTCACTAATTACGATAACTAAACAATATGTTAGAAAACAAATTATTCTTCCCTTCTTAGGCCTTTCATCAAATTGAAAAGCTTGAAATGTTTGCAAACTTCATTAAACTCTACGAATTCGACAGACGGGAAGATGAGAATAGTGAAGACTTGAACAATACTTGGTATATGAAATGATTTAAGTGAAATAGTCATATGGGCGATTAATGTGTGAGAAGTAGTAAAATGAGACAACCAGCAAATGTGAGGTATAATGATTGAGTATATCGGTGCATGACCTGGTTGAACATTGATGGGAAGTATTAGCTGATTTTAATCAATTGGCATTCATTGGGGATGAAAAATATCATCTAAATAATAACATTCATGAAATATGAAGCTAATAAAATGCTGAAAAAATGAACTTAATCATTTAAAATTATTAGCCCATGTGAGGACTCCTTAAGGTCTCAAATGCGCCAACTTGACTCGTCTATAAGTGCCCACGTGGATATTTCGAAATTCCCACAGGAATGCTCCAAGTGTGTCCATGTTTCAATTTTTTCTCACATAAATCATCCGAATATAGTCTAATTCGTTATTGGTGGTAAAAGTTATTGCAATTAAAACTTCATTGGCACAATGGCATGGGATTTTGAAAAATTCGAAGGAATTTTCTACCTTTGTTTAATCAAACTGAAAACACGCCTTCACTCTCTGAAAAGGAAGAATTAAGAGCGATTTTGTTTGGTGTATTCATTTTTTCAATTGAACATTAACACTTGGGCAGTATTTATCCATACGGCAATTTCTTTTGAGTGATATTTGAGTACCTGTGTAAGCTACAATGCGGACCTTTTAAAGGGAGAAAATCACAATTGTTTCGTTAAATATCACCCCCAACACCCCCCTCTCCTCCATTTCCCAAATGAGTCATTTCATTTGATTTCAATTGAATATTGTGGCAGTGCTGAGGAATTGCTTTCAAACTGTCCAAAACGAAGCTAATTGGTGGTTTCT